AGCAACCACAATAAAGATTTTAGTGGCTTTTGTATAAAAAGCATTGTTTAAGGAAGGCGACACACTTGCATTACTAAATACAGAAATCACAACCAAATTTGATGTTAAAAAAACCCCTGAAAATCTACATTGTGTTGTTTAACTCAGGAACTCTGGTTCCTGAGTTCCTTTCTGTGTTAAAAACAGAATGTAATCTGAAGCCCAGCTACAAGCACATTGAACGCATTGATTTCAATGTGATTCAGCATGCCTGTGCCTCTGTGGTCATGACTGCATGCACTGCCACCAAAAATACTGGCGAAAGTATTTTTCTTCTTCTCATGATTGCTATTGTCAGAATACCCAAATGTTAGTTATATATTTCTTTCTCTCTTTTTTTGCAGACTATAAACTTATCTCTAAGTGTTATCAGTTTCACTTCATGTTGAAAGGATTCCAACTCCGTCTCGTTTTTAAAATATTATACAGGTATAATATTTCATGCTGATTTCACTTAGTTACAGATTTATGTGGATCGACAATTTTTTTAAAAAAAATAATAACTAAAAAGGGGAGAGCGGGGGGGAACCCCTGGAAGGGCCATCTGAGATCTTGTGGGAGGCCTCACACAACCTGCTTACAAGCCGAGATCTATATTATGAAAAACTACACAATATACAACCTAGACAGCATCTACAACCTAGACATCACCTTGCCAACAAAGGTCCGTATAGTTAAAGCTCTGGTTTTCCCAGTCGTGATGTATGGAAGTGAGAGCTGGACCATAAAGAAGGCTCATCGCCGAAGAATGGATGCTTTTGAATTCTGGTGCTGGAGGAGACTCTTGAGAGTCCCATGGACTGCAAGAAGATCAAACCTTTCCTTCTGAAGGAAATCATCCCTGAGTGCTCACTGGAAGGACAGATCCTGAAGCTGAGGCTCCAATACTTTGGCCACCTCATGAGAAGAGAAGACTCCCTGGAAAAGACCCTGATGTTGGGAAAGATGGAGGGCACAAGGAGAAGGGGACGACAGAGGACGAGATGGTTGGACAGTGTTCTCGAAGCTACCAGCATGAGTTTGACCAAACTGTGGGAAGACAGGAGTGCCTGGTGTGCTCTGGTCCATGGGGTCACGAAGAGTCAGACACAACTAAAACAACAACACAATATACACCTGCTGAATAGTATATATAAGATTCTACCTGACTACATCATGCTCAGAGCAGACCCACTGAAATGAATGGGAGCTGAAAGTTTGCATTGACAACTCCATTGATTTCAGTGGGTCTACTCAGAATAATACTTAAACACGTGGAATTATATTTCTTCCATATAACTTTCCTACTGTTGGATACAAAATGCCATTATTTTGACCGCTGTAAGCAGATGAAAACATTAGCAGGATTTCAATGTCACTTGCAATATATCAAAGATTATGGATAACATGGATGGATATAAAATATAGAGTATGGAATAATATGTAGTTGAAAAAGTTGACAATAGGACCCATGGAGGGGAAGTCTTGAGATTCAGAGAATTTTCTATACATGGATATGTATTTGGTATTGTTATAAATTTCTATCTGTAAAATCAAATAAAAATGATATTTTTTTAAAAAAGCCATTATTCCATCTCAACCTTTACGTGATTCACAATGTCAAATTTGCCCTCTGCCCCTTTCTTATCTTGTTTTCCATACCGAATCACTAGATTCCTTCTCCTCAGGGCCACTTTATTGTGGGTTCCTCAGAAATGCCATCAACTTTAGTTCCCAAATCTTTCTTATTAGCTTTATCGGTCTTCAACTGCTTTTCTTCCGTTTTAGAAAACACACCTTTAACCACTGCAAGATATAAAAATAAGAAACACGATATCTGACAAAATGTAATAAACATTTCAAAGTCTAATATAATATGAAACTGAAAAAAACTAATATTCACTACCATCCGCCAATATTTAATTGCCTCCCCATACTTCCAACATGTGTGCATGTCTGCAAAATTTACAAATATATTTACAAATATTTACAAATATTTAATCTCTTTGGAAGACACATTCTGTCACGGGGGGGGGGCCTCTTTTTGGTTTTGTACAAATTTAGTACATTCAATCTCCTTTTCACCAATTTTATTCATTTTGCAGGCCCATAAACACCACTGTACATCCATCTAAAAGCACTTTTCTTTATAGTCTCTCTACCATTTATTGATAAAGGTTTTATATTCTTCTACCTGAGTATTAAATAATATCCCATAATCATTTGATAGCTTATTTCTATTGGTTGGTGTCAACTTTTCTGGTCTTTTTATCTTTAACCCATGATTTACTCCTCACATATTTTCATTTTTTTCCTTTCATCCCCAGTAAAATTGGAAAGCATTCCAATTATAAAGTAATGGGGGGGAGTGCATTAATTTGGAAGAAGAATGTGCCTCCCACAAGGTGTTTAACTATGATGAATTGCCAATCCAACAGCATTAATTGTCTTTATTGTCTAAGTAGGGCGTGCCCAGGAAAAGAAGTGGTTATCAATTCTGAAGAAACCAGACTTCTGGTGATTAAGAATGCAGCAGTCATAATTAGAGATTATCTGGTACTTAAAAACGAGTCGAAAAATACATTTCTATCTCCCTGAATAAATAATTTCTCTCTTAAAATAAACGCAGCCCATTTTAATACTTCCTGCTGCAGCCTAGCCATCTATATACCTCACCAAGCTCCCTACATGAAAAAGATGAGGTTATATTACACAGAGACTTAGCGGAGACAGAATGCAAGGCCTTCACAATGCATTATTTATAGCCTACTACCGGTTCATATTCTTTGGGAGAAAAATGCACGAGGCAAAAGCCCTGAACCTTGTGATTGATAAAGTATGGAACAAAGTTAACAGAAATCTTAAATCATCTACCAAAGACCTGAAGGTAAAGCTCATGCAACAGCAAGTACCCAGCAGACTACATCTAAGATAGATAAACAGGGAATCAAAGCCTCCGACAGGGACTGGGAATATGGAAAGCTCAATATAGCACCAGCTCCTTTTGTTGGGCCTTCAGATGCAGTTTTTGAGGCAATGTGCTGTATCACACTCACACAGTTATAAATCAGCCATATTTTTTCTATTTTTCTAATTCTGCGATTCCTGATCTTCACCACATTTTCTCATGTTTAAAATTAGTTTTTTTTGGGGGGGGTCAGGATGAGCAGAGGACTGAGGGTGGGGAAAGAGGCTTGTCTTCCACAGCCTCCCCAACCCTGCTTTTTAAAGAGCATGCTGTTCATTTCCTAAACATTTTACTGCCCTGGCTATTGAGCAGGCACCATCCCAGTACTCTTTTAAGCACCGGCTGAAAGCTGCTGTGTATGTCTAGCCTAGAGAAGAGGGGAAACATGACAGCCACCTTCAAATATCTAAACAGCTGTCACATCAAAAATGGAGGAAGCTTGTTTTCTCGTGCTCCTGAAGGAAACAATGGATTCAAGTTACAAGAAAGGAGATTCCGACTAAACATACGGGAAAAGTTTCTGACAATAAGAGCTGTTCAACAGTGGAACACTCTCCCCTGGGAGGTTGTGGACCATCCTTCCTTGGAGGTTTTTTAGCAGAGGTTGGGTGGCCATCTGCCATGGATGCTTTAGCTAAGATGCCTGCATTGCAGGGGGTTGGACTAGATGGCTCTTGAGGCCCCATGGCACTGTGGGTTAAACCACAGACCCTAGGGCTTGCCGATCAGAAGGTCGGCGGTTCGAATCTCCGCAACGGGGGTGAGCTCCCGTTGCTCGGTCCCTGCTTCTGCCAACCTAGCAGTTCGAAAGCACGTCAAAGTGCAAGTAGATAAATAGGTACCGCTCCAGCGGGAAAGGTAAATGGCGTTTCTGTGTGCTGCTATGGTTTGCCAGAAGCGGCTTAGTCATACTGGCCATATGACCCGGAAGCTGTATGCCAGCTCCCTCAGCCAATAAAGCGAGATGAGCACCGCAACCCCAGAGTTGGTCACAACTGGACCTAATGGTCAGGGGTCCCTTTACCTTTTATCAATAGTAATGAGTTGTGGGCAACTTACACTTGCCAGGAGTGACGCCTCAACGCCTTCCACATGCGCTGCATCAGGAAGATTTTGGGCATCACATGGCAGGACAGAGAACGTCTACACTGGATTGGTCATGTCCACAGAATGGAAGGTGCAGGATCCCTAAAGATGGGCTTTACGGGGAGCTGGCTTCAGGCACCAGGCAGACCAACTACGCATTACAAAGGTGTCTGCAAACAGGACACGAAGGTTGCCTACATTAACTCCACTTTATGGGAATCCCTTGCTAGAAAACTACAGCACATGGAAACCACCCATCAGGTTGTGTATCCACAGCAGTGACCAGAGAAGGAATGACCACTGGGAGGAGTGCAGATGAAATGGCACGCCTGCATCGGCACAACTAAACACCTTCATCTGCCCCAGCTGCAACAAAGCATGTCTCTTCAGTATTGGACTACAGCCACAGGGGGCGCTGCAACTTTCCAACTTCAGCCCCTGAAGGTGCACCCCTCCTTAGTCTCTGGAGACAGATGGGACGCATAATTTCTAACCTGGTTTAGCATTTTAACTTTTTGCATTGCCGGGGGTTCGGCTAGATGTCCTCGGGGCCGGGGTCCCTTTCCAACAACCCTACAATTCTGTGTTGCAATTCCACCCTAGATTTCCCCCTTTTTGCAAACCTCTCTACTTCTTTTTTGCAATGTATACATTGCGTGAGCTGAATAAACAAACACAAAGCAATAGGTCCCCTAGCCAAAAAAGGGGGTGGAGAGAGAGAGTGGAGGAGGCAGCCGCCCGCAAGCGCCTCTCTCGCCTTCCTTGCTCGCAGGAAGAGGAAGGAGCAGCCGTCCTCCTCTTTCCGCGCGTCCCTTTCTCTCTCCTCCTCCTCCCGCTTCGCCGCGCGCTCTGACGACAGATCCGTGCGCAGCCAGAGGCCACGTTGGCAACTGAGGACGCTGCTGGAGGAGCCGCTTTGCGCTTGAGCTTTTGGGGGCTGACTCTTGATTTGCAGCAAGCAGCAGCAGCTTCCGAGCGAGCATGTCTTCGCCGCCTAAAGTCAAAACAGAGACCCGGGCTGGACACCCTCCTGCTGGTACTGCTGACCTTCCCCCGATCTCTCTCTCTCTCCTTCCTTCTCTCTTTCCACCTCTCCAGATCTTGGCTTGGCCAAACGGGAGTTTGTTGTTGGGAGGGGTGATTAGGGGAGGAGGAGGGGGAAGCTGGTAAGTTTTTTAAAATTAAAAATACCCCCTCCACACATATGCACAGTATTTGCATGTCGTCCTAAATGGAGAGTGGGCCGGGTTGTGGACATGTTTTGTGTGCGCATCAGGGAAGGAGGCGGGTGCCCGATTCTTTTTAAAGCTGCAAATCCTTTGCACGTTTACTCGGGAGCAAGCCCCGTGGAGCAGAGTTGGGGTTGCTGTTGTTGTTTTTCTGAGCGCAAGAAGGAAGCCCATTTTCATTGAGGTGACGGGGGCGGCTGCAGCCCAAAGTGTGCTTACAAAAAGGGAGCCCCGTTGAAGCTGCGGGGTTTTCTTCCGGGTAAGCAGGATTGCAACGTTACTATCTAGTCCAGTGTTTCCCAACCTTGTGCCTCCAGCTGTTTTTGAACTACAACTCCCATCATCCCTGACTAGCAAGACCAGTGGCAAGGGATGATGGGAATTGTAGTCCAAAAACAGCTGGAGGCACAAGGTTGGGAAACACTGATCTAGTCAACATGCTGAGGATCGGGGTGCACAGAAGGTGCTGCACTGTTAATACGTGCTTCCTTCCGCCACTTCTTAAAGCAACAAAAGTTTTGTACAGTATGGCCTATGCATATTGAAACTTCTGCAAAGTAGGGCTTTGTCCACTCCCCCTTTCCACTTGAGGACGCCATGCCAACGTATGCAAGAAAACAGATCCCGCAAGTGTCTTGTGAAAAGCCACTTGGAGGTCACCGAGTGGATCCTCATAGGAGTCTAGCTTATAGACACCGTAGCACAAAGGAACATTGCAAAGTGTGTGTGGATGCCATAATACAATACAGAGTTCCTGTGTACTATTGCAGCCAGATCGTATAAGCTTTTTTCAGTGAGTTTAATAGCACTTATTCTCAGGTTAAAGGGACACGGGTGGCGCTGTGGGTTAAACCACAGAGCCTAGGACTTGCCGATCAGAAGGTCGGCGGTTCGAATCCCCGCAATGGGGTGCTCCTGCCAACCTAGCAGTTTGAAAGTGCGTCAAGTGCAAGTAGATAAATAGGTACCGCTCCGGTGGGAAGGTAAATGGCGTTTCCATGCGCTGCTCTGGTTTGCCAGAAGCGGCTTAGTCATGCTGGCCACATGACCCGGAAGCTGTAGCCCGGCTCCCTCGGCCAATAAAGCGAGATGAGCGCCGCAACCCCAGAGTCGGTCACGACTGGACCTAATGGTCAGGGGTCCCTTTACCTTACTATTCTCAGGTTGGCTGCAGCCCTAGACACACTTTAGTTACATCCTGTGCAATAGCAATATTTGAAGCTACTGTTAAATAGAACAGTATAAAAAAGAATAAAACTTCATTAAATAACTGATTAAAAAAATATCCAAAGTGACTGTCCAAAGAATTTCCATGTCCTAAATGTAGAGGTTAAAACAAAATGTTTAAAAAGTAAGCAAGTTTCTTATTTTGTGTTAATCTTTTCATGAAAGCGCAGAATATTCTTGCTACTGATTTAATTTCTGCCGTGCTTTTCATAAATTATTGTTGGATTTTCAGAAATAAAATAAAAACTCCTGAAGCAAAAATTTCAGTAGAAAAAAATTAAAAACATTCCCCTCCACCCTGAGGCTTTGTGTCCACATGCTGATTTATTCATTTGTCTAACTTCAACATTTGTTGTTCAGAGCAACTTCCCAAACATTGTGCAATACAGTATTCCCAAGTCTAAGCAACTTCCCAAACATTGTGCAATACAGTATTCTGAACATGGAGCTGTCTTGAAGCTGCTGTGCTTGTAAACGCTGTTGATTTCAGAAATCACCAGAGGAAAAACAAGAACTGCATTTTTGAGTGTCTCTTCCCTTTCCCATTTTTGAGTGTCTACTCCCTTTCATCTTCCTGGATTATATTGCTCACTTGCAGGCAGTACTTCTCTTACTTCAACCTTTAACCTTCCCAGTTTGTTCCTGACCTGTATGACCCCACTGTTTCATGATGCCTTAATCTTGAAAGTCCTGTGCTGAAAGTAAGGGAAATAGTTTAAAGAAATTCCATTATTATAAGAGGAAGGCGAGAGATCTAGAGCAGTCGTTCCCAGTTAACTAAGTACTGCAGACCCCCTGTTTGTCAAAAGCCAAACCTTGGACTCCCTACTTTTGAATTTTCCCCTATCCCTATGGTAGTTTTTGTTACGTGAATGGTGCCACAGATCTCCTGGGGTCCACAGACCCCCAATTGGAACCAATGATCCAGGACGTTTCTCCTTATAGTCCTTTTTAATTTCCTGGAAGTGAAGAATACTTTTATTTTTCTAATTGTTTTCTAAGTACTCCCCCCCCCTTTCTACTATATATAAAGAACCGTGTAAACTGAAGGCAATGAAGAAGTAAAAGTAAAAATTATTGCAAGCTGTAGAAGGGGCATGTTTGACTTGATCTCTAGTTTGAGAGAGGACCAGCTGTTGCTTAGGTGAACAGCTGAGAAGTGTTGGTGGTGTTGAGGCTGAAATGTACATTGAGAGATCAATTCTATGCCCAAGAAACTGGCATAAAGCAAGCCGGTGCAAATTAAGCCAGCACAAAGTTATACTAGAGCCAGACTCCATTCAGCTGCAAGGCTACTGGTGGTTGAACTGGCCTAAGCCTAGGGAAAACAAGCCTTTAAAGTAGTGTTTGAGTTACATCACCCTTCTTGCTATCTTAACTTACGCTGGGTTGCCAGGTCATATGACTGTGTTGAACAAGCTTAGGATCCAGCCTATTTCCCTTCCCCTTGCGCCTGCCATGTTCCTTTTTCAGGAACACTGGCTAAATTACACTGGAGGGAAATGTTGAAAAATCAGTTTGTGGCACTACTTTGCCCCCGCCTATTCCCCCCCCTCCCCGCAGGGCTTTGCACATCAACTTACAACTCTGATCAGTGCTATTTTTCTTGGAGGGAAGAGTGCCGAACTCACCATGAACGCCTCCCTTGTTCTCTTTTAATGGCAATGGCGCCCACCTGAGAGGTGCTAAAGCTCTAGTTCAGATTTTCATCTTTAGGAATGGGAGGGGACAAAACTTGATTTGCAATTAATTGTTCAGAAATTGTCTCTGAAAATGGATGGCCCCTAGTTAATCAGCTGTGAGCATACTGCTTTTCTAAGGGCCAGTGTGTGTGCTCCCACTTCTTCACTTTCTCCAAAACTGCCCCAAAGTGTTTTCTTGGCTTTCCCCTGGTTCTGGCAATCCTGCACAGTGTTTTTAGGCTCAATCTAGCACATTGTTATGTGGACTCAAGCTCCATGGGTTTTTGTGAGATTTGAGTGCTCATAATTGTGCAATGGATTGGGGTGTTCATGTGCAGAGAGGAAAACAACAAGAGAAGTAGCCTGGACCAAAATTACCGATCAACCCTAGAGAGGAAGAAGGGGCCCATTAATGTGTTGTGTTAATAGGCACTTATTACAATCACAAGTCCCTATAGACGAACAAGCACAAGTCCCTCCGCTTTAGAAAAACATGTAAGGTCTAGGCAATCAGCCTAAAGATAGTTCATGTGCATCAGTACAGAGATGTTTTTACAGGCCTAGTAAACAAAATATTGGGCTTCAGGTAAGCACTTTCAAAAAGAAGATGGAAGATTTTGAAGTCTTCACACAGACAAGTTCTGTATTAGAAAACCAGATGGATATATAGATCTCCACCTTATGAAATAGGATGCTATTATTTAAATGTTGAGAGAAGTCAGGGCTAAGAGTGGCTCGACCAAGTCTAGGTCAAGTGGTGCCCGCCCTGTGGAATGCCCTCTCATCAGATGTCAAGGAAATAAACAACTTTCTGACTTTTATAAGAAGGCAGCCCTGTTTAGGGAAGTTTTTAATGTTTGATGTTTTATTGTATTTCTAATATTTTGTTGGAAGCCGCCCAGAGTGGTTGGGGAAACCCAGCCAGATGGGCGGGGTATAAATTTTTTTTTTTATTATTATTATTATTAGTCATGGGTAGGTCCAAATCTACACCTGTATTGACTTTGTGCTATTGCACAAAGTTTCGATGATGCTGGAACTAAATGCACTTAGATAGGAAGTACATTTCTGAGGCTTTTACCCACAGCGCCACCCGCGTCCCCCAGACAACATTATTGGCAGCCAAAATACAGTTCACAGGCTTTGTTTCCAACAGGGGCTTTCAAGTGTCTTTATTTGTTTGGGATGCACTGTCCCTGCGGAAACAGCTTTAAGAATTTGATTTTCCCTAAACTGGTTTGTGCCACCGTACTCATCTGTTAAATGCATTGTAGCAGTTTGACTCAGTAGGAGCGAAGCTGAGTATGGCTTAAAAGTCTAAATTCAATTTTTGGAAACTGCAGAAATGAAGTGAGATAATAGCATGGCTGTAAAGGAAAGCCTTTGGTTTAGGTGGTCTTTATAGCAGGCTTGATACCGGCCTCAGCCGTGCAACTAAAAGGTTGGGGGAGATTGAAGTTACATATAGGGAGCAGTTAGCTCGAAGCTCCTGTTGTTGGAATATGAGTTATAGGAAATGAAAATCACTGCTGTTTTTATTTTCTATTCCTTTCAGGCAGTACGATGAAAATAATGTTGTATCACTTCTGTGTTTCATTCTCACAATTATGTAGAACAAAAAACAGCGTTTGTATAGTGGTCATCACAATCTCCGGTCCATTTGGACCATCAGAAATGCTCATGGGCGAATTCTGATGATGCAGTACTAATTTCTAATGTTTCATGTGGCTTTAATGTGTTTGCCTGCCATCATGCAGCGTATCTGACAGGCCCCTTTATTTTTGTTGCAGTCAAAGCTGGTGGAATGAGAATCGTGCAGAAACATCCACATGTCGTAGAAACCAAAGAGGAGAAAGAGAAGGAGCAAGAGGACTGGGAAACTCCTGGCACCAGGTGAAGGCCTTTCCATCATGTGTATTATTATAAATGAGCAAGGCAATTGCTCTTTTTCCAGCAAAGCACAGTTGTGGGGAATTGGACAGCTTGGGTGAACACGGAGGCAGTCCTATGGCAAGATCTGCCAAAATGCAACAGATCTCCGTCTCAGCCAAAGATGCAGCCGTGGAACTTGCTCAGCTGGGGCTCAGCTAGCTGAGCTGAGGCTGGTGTGAGCCCCCCAAAAGGGGTGATCTGGGAGCAGGACCAGAGAGGGGGTAGGGCTGGGGACTTAGACTGGCTCTGGTGTAACTTTACGCTAGCTGAACTTACTCTGCCTCCCTTTCCGCAAGGTTCTTGTTCATAGCATGGCTCCCTAAATATAATAACACACACTCAACAGTCCACATTTATTTGTGCTAATCCTAGTGATTGCTTGACAGTTTTCAATGGCATCTAAAGTGGATGCAAGGTAGAGAATTCAGTAAGAACTGAAAAGTGTTGGAAAAATAGAATTCCTGCTTTGGTGGGGGCGGGTGTGTGTGTTTGCCTGTTTCTTTTTAAAATCTGTTTTGGCAGCCACCTCTTTTTACCTTTGGGCCAGCCAAGCCAGGTGGTCTATTGAAGATTGAGGTGGGGTTGCAGATATGTAGGGAAAGGCTTGTGGGCAGTCTAAACATTTCTTGTATGAGCACAGAGCTATTCAGGGGCTTCTTGAAATCGGCTTTAGTGGAAAATGTTCAGGAAGGGAATGAATGGGACCAGTAGCAGCGTATAAACCTCTGGTGATTTCCTCCAGATTCTGAGCATGGAATAACTGCACAAGCAGAGAGTCTCACTTCTCACACGTATCTGCTTGGCCACAGGTCTTTTCCTGTGTTCCGCTGCTACTTACTCAGTAGAAATTAAAATGGACTTTATTTACTTGGTTTTTTTTATGTTTTGCTACATAGAACCATATTGCTGATGGTCAGATAGGCATGGGGGGGGGCGGGAATATGATTTATTAAAAGAAACGTCTGATTTTGAAAAACGTGCCAATAATGTGTGTGCTATATCCTAAGATTTTTAATGGTTATAATCTAAAGTTTTACAATTAAACGATTATTTGATGGTTGACTTTTTAAAAAGACACCACACCCCATGTTAACTGCCTTCTGTTTTTCAACTGTCCTCATAATCCAGCGCTCCTAGCAAAAACTGCAAAAAATTTAGAAGGGGCAATTAGAATAAGATCTACTATTTGATTATCGATGTAAACATCCAAAATGTATTTTGTATAGTTAAGATTTTACCTCTTATCTTCAGTACATTTCATTTTATTTTATTCTATTCTATTGGCACGGCTAGTGGCTGATGCAAATAAAGGTTCTTCTGATCTGATCTGATCCAGTGCTCTCTTACAGTGGGCTTCCAGATGCCTGCATGAAAAATTCAGGTGGGGCATGAAAACTACACTCCCCCACTGCCGTTTGTCCCTAGCATAATGGTATTCAGAGGTACCACAGAGGCATGTGGTGTTCTTAATATGATGCAATGTTTATATTGCTTGCATTTAGTAAGCTTGGCCAAGAGGCTGACCTTTTTTATCAACTGACATTTGCCCAGTGGATAACAGAGGGGGGGGGGAATCAATACAGGAAGTGCACATTTAAATGCATATAAAATAAGTACTCAAGGTCCATGAATATCATTTTACCCAAATACTTAAAGAGAACATAACACTGCTGTGCTAGGTTAAATCAAAGATCCATTTAGCGCAGCGCCAACCGGATGCCTTTGTGAACCCCAGGAGCAGATCATGACTACTTCGGCAATAGCTCAGTTGGTTAGAGCAGGCATAGGCAAACTCCGGCCCTCCAGATGTTTGGGACTACAATTCCCATCATCCCTAGCTAACAGGACCAGTGGTCAGGGATGATGGGAATTGTAGTCCCAAACACCTGGAGGGCCAGAGTTTGCCTATGCCTGGATTAGAGCGTAGTGCTGGTAACGCCAAAGTGACAGGTTTGATCCCCGTATGGGTGCATTGCAAGGGGTTGGACTAGATGACCCATGGGGTCCCTCCCAACTCTATGAGCACAGCAGCTTTTACTGCTGTTAATCGCCAGTGTCTGGTGTTCAGAGGCTAGGTGCCTCTGATCTTTGAGGTAATATATAGCCATCATGACTAGTAGCCATTTGTAGACTTATTGGCCACGCATTGTCTTATCCCCCGTTAAAGCCATCTTTAAATTGGTGGTTCTCACCACTTATTGTGGCAACAAATCCCATATTCTAACTATACGCTTAACTGTGTGTTGAGAAGCATTTCCTTTTGCCTGTCTTGAATCTCCCACTGTTCACAATGCGAAACCCTTGGAGCGCTTTGGAGGAAAATTGTATAGGTACAATTATTTAGGACTATGCGCCGGTCGTCCGTTTACTGGTCAGGCTGTTCCAGGTAGGTTTATGCTCCCACGAGCACCTTCTGTGTTCTGCCCTTGAATCAACAGCGCCTCGTGGATAACAGCATCAAGCAAAGAATGAAGATGTAATAAGCCAGTAGGGTACAATTTCTCACATCGACCTCTAGGCAAAGATCATTAAACAAAGCCAAAAGCACAGTCCATATCCAAGTGGAAAGCCAGACTGGCAGGAAGCCAGGAAGCCAATAATGTCCAGGTGTGCCTGAAATTGCAGAGCAACCCCCTACTTTGCAGTTAAAAGGGAATGGTATCGTTTTCTCTTCATTTCAGGTCCTTTGAAATACAGAAACTCAATCAGGAGCAAGGGATACAAGCTAGTAATAAATTTTCAACAAAGATTGATGGTTCTTTCCCCCCAACATCAAGCCAAGGAGAGGGGTGCAAGCGAAATGTCTATACTGTATGTTTCTAATAGTTGAAAGTCCAACAATCTACGGAGAACCATATGTTCCCCATTCCTGATCTGCACTTACTGGCAGAAGCTTGGATTAATCCTGGAATCTTTTGCCTGCAATGCGAAGGCACAAGTGTTGTATATTTCTTGAAATCTTCTTATGGCTGCAGCCAGAGACTGGGGTGGCTATTGCACAAAGGGTTGGATCCAGAGCAAGTTAGCTGCTGTTAAGTTCTATTGCACTCGGTGGGACTTTGCATGCAGTGCAATACTGCGAATGGCTACTCAGAAGTAAGTCCCATTGTATTTGTTGGGACAGTTAAAGGTAAAGGGACCCCTGACCATTAGGTCCAGTCGTGGCCGACTCTGGGGTTGCGGCGCTCATCTCGCTTTATTGGCCGAGGGAGCTGGCGTACAACTTCGGGTCATGTGGCCAGCATGACTAAGCCGTTTCTGGCGAACCAGAGCAGCGCACAGAAACGCCGTTTACCTTCCTGCCAGAGCAGTACCTATTTATCTACTTGCACTTTGACGTGCTTTCAAGCTGCTAGGTTGGCAGGAGCTGGGACCGAGCAACGGGAGCTCACCCCATCGCGGGAATTCGAACAGCTGACCTTCTGATCGGCAAGTCTTCGGCTCTGTGGTTTAACCCATAGAGCCACCCACGTGCCTGCTGGGACAGTAGACCCTAGTGAATACATTTGGGATTGCAACCTTAGTCATGACTAACATTTCAAACAGATTCTTTTTTTCCATTTGCCAAAAAACAAATAAATCACACAACAAGGATCATTTCTCCTCTCTCTGAACATTGTACACACCCACCGTTTACTTTGGGAAAAACCATGATGTTTTACGGAATTGTAAGTGTTTGCAAAAAGGAATCTTACCAGGGTAGTCTTGTGGGAATAACCTTTAGAGAATTATTTGTATTAGGTTCTTAGCCAATAGGTAAGTTCCCAACTAATTAAGGTGGGGAGCCAGAAGATAACCAACCAAAGATAACAACTGAATTGTTGGCAGAGCAACAAAGGTTAGTATATTGGCTTCAAAATGATTCATGGAGAGTGTTGAATCAAGACGTGGTCTAGCCCTGTTCTCTCACTTCTTAGCTGGAACTGAGTTGTAGTCCAAAACATCTGGAAGGCACCAGGTTAGGGTATATATACTTAGTGGAAGTATCTCCCCACAAGGGCACCTAACCTTCCCCTTTTGGCCCAGTTTGTGTCTTATTTGCGGGGCTCAAGATTTGAATGGGGTTGTACATTTAGGCTTGATTCATAGGAGCTTTCACCCTTGACGTTGAGCAGTAGGCTTCTCGTGGCTTGGGCCTATGCGTTCTGTACAGTCATACCTTGGAAGTTGGACAGAATTCATTCCGGAAGTCCGTTTGACTTCCCAAACGTTTGGAAACCAAAGAGTGGCTCCCGATTGGCTGCAGGAAGCTCCTGCAGCCAATCGGAATCCTCGTCGGACATTCGGGTTCCAAAGAACGTTCGCAAACCGGAACGCTCACTTCCGAGTTTGCGGCATTCGGGAGCCAAAACATTCAACAAGGCGTTCGGGATCCAAGGTACAACTGTACTCAGTTATTATTAGTAGTATATTTATTTATACCAAGCCATTTCCCCTGACAGGGATTCAACACATAAATGGACTGACGTAGACGTTCTAACCTACCCTTCTCCACTATCTATGTGCAGGATCCTTTTTTAATATGAACTCATGTTCTTTTATATGAGCCCCAACTTGTAGTCTGAAGTGCTACACCCCAGACAGACGCATAGTTACCACTGTGGTGAACATTTGATCGTAGGGACAAGGCAGACTGAAGACAGTGTTAATCACACTCCTCTGCTGCATTCGCACTCTGCACTGTGGATGGCAGAAGAATTGTGTTGAACTTAACAAATCGTGAGCGAATAAATCCTGAATGTAAGTTAGCGTGATTGAGAAACTCATAATGGAGTCCCATCTTAGTTTGTTTATTGACTTTGAACTTGGCCCAGTATATAAAATCCCTAAATAAATATTACAGCTTTTCAGCCTCTGTGTTTCTGATAAAAAATGAAACATTTATGCTATTATTTTAAGAGCTGGTTTTGTGCATTTGCCTTGCTTCTTCTCGCTTCGTTTATTCATTCAGCGCCAGATCC